TCGGTGGAAAACAGATGGGGGTCATTAACAACGGCCGTCGCAGGCTGTGCACCGCCGGGATGACATTACCTTATTTAATTCGAAACGGTGGGACACAGTACAGCCAGGAAGACTTATGGATATGTCGGCAGGCAGTTGCCGAAGCTTGAACTTGGGAATGTCGTTACACTTCTATAGCTGCCTATCCTAAGCGACTCTGTTTAGGTTCAATGGTGATGTTCACCAGCGCTTAAACTTGACTGCGACTACAAGCAAATCATCTTAACGAGGTCCCTGACATTTTTATCGCGATCACGGTCGGCAGTATGACAGTAAGGGCAGTGTGTGCAATATTCCAATGACCCATTAACCCGCGCGGGGCTGGGGGGGGGTAAATTTTACCCCCCCTCGCGAATTTTTGCGATATCTCAAAAACGGCGGCGCGCAGCGCCGCCAAACTTTCAGTACCTTTTCTTACATCAATTTGACACGTTCCCTGAAAATTTGAGCGAAATCCGTCGGAAAATTTTTGAGAAATTGACGTTTTAGTGACGTCATGTTCGCCATTTTCGCCTCAAAAACGGCAAAAGTTCAAACGCCGCTAACATCTTCATTTTTAAAGGAATCAAGACGTAACAAAAAAGGTTATACGTAATTCTACTTTGTCTATCAAATGGCTATCTCGGTTTTTTGAAAATTTTGGATTTTGGCCTAAATTTTTTCAAAAAACTGACTTTTTTGGGAAAATCATTATAAAATCCAAAATTTTGAGTCTATCGAAAAAACCGGAATATATGTCAGAGAAGTGGTCTATGTGCACCTACATACCAAATTTTAGAAGAATCGGTTCAAAAATGTGGGAGTTATTCAAAATTTTATGACGTCACGACACACAAAATTTTTGAAAAATGACTTTTTTGGAAGTTCTAGACCTCGTACGGAAACAAAAATAGCACCATTCGATTCGCCGTGAAAAACTGCATCAGATAGACACCTTTTTAGGCCTTAAAAACCAACTTCAAAATTTGACCTCACTTGACCTGACCTTGACCTGACCTCGACCTGAAATTCATCCAGAGGTGGTCCATATCACTTATTGAGTGTGCCTATTGAATTCTATGAGTAAAATGACCCATAAAACATGTGTCGCACATGCCCTTTTCTATATTTTGTTTTTTGGTGACCTGACCTGACCTGACCTGACCTTGACCTTGACCTCTGAATGATATTGTATGCAACGAATATTGTCTTGGTAGCCTAAGAACACGTTTTGGGCGATCAGTCTCAGTCCATGACTCCATTCTTCGGCAACTACGGTGCAAGGCCGATACTGTAGAAACTTGCAATTTGTACCCTTGACCTGACCTTGACCTTGACCTCAAACTTTAAATTAAGTGCATGTTTTTAGTAGTTCGTGATGAGAGCTTTCGATTGGCGTTTGAATTTTCCCAATCGGACCATTAGTTTGGGAGATAACAGGGGGGGTAAAATTTACCCCCCCCCAGCCCCGCGCGTTCGGCTGGAGACCCCAGCCCCGCGCGGGTTAACGCTGGTGTCATTTTGAACTGTCGCAGAGACAGAGGGTGCCAGTGCCCACGGTGGTGGTGATTTGATTTTGGCGAACGATACAACTACATACAATGTGTGTTTTATCACACATTACTTCAATCAATGTGTTCTTCAGCTGTATAATGTCAACAGCATCCATCTATTGTGCAATGCAACCATATCTTTCAAACCTTACACTTAACCCTCGTCCGTATAGGGGGGGGGGGGGTCGAACGCCCCACCTCGGTTTTTCGCGAATAACTTGCGTAAAAAGCGGCCAATCGCGACAAAACTTTCAGTACCCTCGCGTTAATCAATTTTACACCTACCCTGAAAATTTCATGACCCTGACCCAAATGACCTACTTTTCGAGACCATGTTTGGCCGGAATCGCGATTCGGCGCATGTCGGCTCGCATTAGCCGCGCGTTTCCAGTCTTTTCGTGGTTTCAAGCGTTCAAACATGTGATATGATGTTGGTCCCATGCATTAGGGTGGGTGCCAAGGTCACCTGAAGGTCAGGTCAGGTCGTTGACCTTTGATGACCTCGGTTCCCCTTTTTTAGTTTTATATATTTCTGGGCTAGTTTTTGGAGCTGAATGCGAAATTAACAACCATTTAAACATTTATGAAGTAGTTTTAGTGCCTTCTTAACGTGTTACGAAGCTGTCAGAGGCGGGTGACACCTACTACGAATACCCGGCAGGACCCCTACTGGTTGACCTGACCTGTCCTGACCCGACCTGGCCTAAATGCATGAAGACATCATCTGTGACCAAAACTAGCATGATATTTGTAATTAGCGCCCCGAAAAAAAAAACATAGCAGGTACAATTTAAGACGTTCTAAAATTTAGCATGTCCCGATTTTTCCGACTTTCGGGCCATTGACCTGACCTGGAATGTCAACCACTGACCTAAGACCTTAAAATTGGGAATCATCGGCTTCCTCTCGTCACGTGCAACATGCTCGTTTTTTTCCGCGAAGCTCTTGTTCGATTAGGGGCGAAAACGGCAAGGGGGCCCAACGCCCCCCCCCCTTATACGTTCGCGGAGCAGGTGGTTAAACACCAATACGGGCGAAGGTTAACCCGCGCCCAGATGGGGTCTGCCGAGCAACGCGGTCTGATGGGGGGGGCGGGCATTTTGGCCCCCCCCCCCTCAGATCTCGAGAACCACGCAACATAGCGACAAGCGGTAAACGGAGTTGGATAGCCCCAACGGGGAACTACCTTGTGACCCAATTTCATTGACCTCGGTTAAACCAATGACGTCACAGGTCAGGTCAAAGGTCGAATTTTCACCGTTTACTGGCATTTCAAGAAATGCGTTGTAAAATCGAGTAAAATGCATTTCATTGAAAATCATCGATGGGGGAATGTTCTTCAAACACATATTTTGCTATTTGAGGTCACTGATACCAGGTCAGGTCACAGAGGTCAGGTCACTGGGCGGGTCACAATATGAAAGTGTCGTGTGATACATGTTTTATGGTCCATTTTACATGACAAATGCGATTATGTGGGTCAGACAGACTTTAGGGCCAGCTTAGGTCACGTTTTGGTCAAGGTCAGGTCAAGGTCAGGTCAAGGTCAGGTCAAATTAGGTCAAATTTCAAAGCTGATATTTTTGCATAAAATGGGTATCGATTCGATGCAGCTCGTCACGGGGAGTTCAATGGTGGTCTCCGTTTTGCGCTACGAGGTCTAGAATTGCTAAAAATTGAGTTCAAAAATTTGACGTCATCAATTTTTAACAGTTTTTTCGCTATAACTTGGCCAAAAAAAGAGGTATCGATCTAAAATTTGGTATGTATATCGAAGAGCGCAGGGACTATCACATATATTCCGTTTTTTTTTCGAAATTCGAAATTTTTTTGAAATTTTTTTGAGTTTTTCTAAAAAAAATCATTTTTTTTATTTTTGGGGGTCAAAATCCCAAAATTTCGAAAATCCGAGATAGCAGTTTTGTAGCGCCGTCTTTTCTCTACACAACCACATAAAGAACTTTAAAATTGCTTGTTAACTGTAGAATTTGTGAGCGTTTAAAGATGCCATGTTTTTTGCTCATTTTTACTCGAACATGACCTCAGTTTGACCTCAATAACTCCTGACCTGAGGTGACCTGTGACTTGAAATTTTGTGTGAAGGTGTCAAATTGATGCCCGGTAAGGTACCCAAATTTGCGCCGCCGTTTTCTCGCTATTTAAGAAAAACCACAGGGGGGGGGGCAAAATGGCCCCCTCATCAGGGCGCGGGTTTTAAGATGACTAAGTAATGTTAAGCAGTGCAATAAAGCATGAAGAAAATAAATCTTAGCCTTGAAAATATTAAGCATTTATGGGCATATAATCACTGGCGGATCAAAGGAGAGGGGCATTTGAGGCAATGTCGTCCCCCCCCCCCCTTCCACGCAGCGTCCGAAATCGATGAATATTTGTCGTTTTCTTAGAAAAAAACAAACTTTATTACCAAAAGTTTCTTTAAACTGCACAGCAATGCATAAAAGAATCGAAATCCAAAGAGCTTTTAGAATTTGGAGAAACTTTTCGAAGGTATGTCACCCCCCTCCCCCCCTTCCAGCGTTCGAGAGCGCCTTCCTGGAAGTTGGAACCGCCTATGAATGCAGCTAAATCCATAGCCATTGGCCATTAACTACATGGAACGCTCATGAAATTTGGATAGAGCACCCGACATCTTGCAATTATTAGCGCCCACTGGACCACATAAAGGTAATAACATGATACTGATTTGTCAGCGTTAAGTGAAGCGCAGACTGTTATAGATCCGACTGCAGATAGTGGTGGCCGAAAGACAGTGAACAATTGTTCTGGGATCATTCAGTGAGGGTTTGATGGCAAAAAAAACTACATGAATAAATGCGAAATTGTTGTTACAGGTTCGCATGATGGTGTTTACATATAAATATTTGTGGTCGTTGTTTCGAGAATTTGTAGCATTCAGGAATGGAGCCAGAGATTCTGTAGCGACTAGCTAGTCAAATCCTTCAGAATTTGGCTCGTAAGAGAATGTTAACATAAATGCTAGCGATATGTCATAACTCATAAGACGTGTGATTATGGAAAGGAAACTGGCAATCTACACCAGCAGCAAAGGATAACGGAATTTTGATACTTCACGCGTCACTCGTCCCCCTGGTTCCCGGTGCACTAAATATATCGTGTACGTACGGCCCTCCAGGTATAAAGTGATTGGTTGCCAACATCACAATTATCGATCTGCGTTGATGAATATGTCTAATGGGCAATGGCTGTTGAAAACCACTGCCGAAATGTGTGCACGAGCCCTCTTCTCATTTGTATTGAGTCATTTTACACGACTGTCTCCGTCATTTAAAGTTATTACACCAAAAGCACATAGGCTAACCAACCACTGTTTTGCTGGAGGGCCATACACTGATACCAGCCCGTCGGCTGCGGCCGGCGCCACCTACCGCGCTAGCCGCTGCCACCTACCGTAGAGGGCGCCGGCGGGCCAGCCACGCAGGTCGGCGTGCGCCAGCAGCTCGTGCATCGGCTGGCCGAGCAGCGGGTGCTGCTGGGCGCCCACGCGCTCGCGCAGTTTGACCGACAGCGGGCTGAGCAGCAGCGCCGGCGGGATGTGCAGACAGTTGGCGGGCGCGGCGGCCAGGTGCGCCAGTGCGCCGCGCAGCTCGGCCGGCACCAGCGACAGGTCGGTCAGCTGCCGCGGCGCCGGCGCGCCCGACTCCGCCTGCCGAGAGCACAGAACGGCACGACGGTCAGGTGCGGCGGGCGAGGTCAAAGTATGTACAATGAAGCAGACGAGCCTTTCTGTTAAACTGCCGTTAAGCGTTATATGAAACATAAAAACAAAGTTCGCATAACAAACGATACGAGAGCATCCGCGGCCATTCGCCGATGACGTTTTGTGAGATGTCAGACGCGGGAGGGACGGCAGGCTCTCACCTCCTCGGCGCCGACCCAGGCCTGCTCGAGCCGCCGGATGCGCTCGTTCTGCCACAGCCACTGACGGTGACGGTCCAGGTGGACGCTCTGCAGAAGCGCCGCCAGGTGCTGCATCAGCGTGAGCAGCCGGCCGCTGGTGGCCGCGCTCGGCTGGGGCGGGATCTGCGGCGGACCAGGTACCCTTCAGTCAGTGGACACCGCACCTCCCGTCAGCGGACCAGACACCCTCCAGTCAGCGGACACGGCTCCATTCCCTCAGCGGACCGGGCACCTCCCGTCAGCGGCAGCACGCTCGGCGGAATAGAGAGCGCAGGTGAGCTCGCCATGAGCCAGCAGTACTTAGCTTAGGGTATGTATTCATCGCTCCCCAAAGAAAATCGCTCCCATTACCCACCCACTACAAATCGTCCCTGTCACTCCTCAAGCTTACTTTGTAGGATGAACTCTTCTCTGATATCCTCCCGAACGAGAGGTCGATTTCTGGGGCAGGCTAGAATAGGCATATACTGGCGCACGTAATGCAAACGTGATGCTAGTGAATCTAAATTGGGTGGCGTAAAAAGTTAATGGGAAATAACAAAAAAGCAATGCTTTTTTAAATTAAAAATAATCATTTCGATTTTTTATCAGCCGTTGAGACAGAAAACAATGTATGGATGTACAACCCGATCTGGTGCACCTTTATCATCCGACGAACAGCTAGCAACATCTGCATTTCTACGATAAATTATCTTGTGGACAGGGTGACTCGAAAAACTCGATAGAGTCGTGCATAGATAGCGCAACTCACTAGCGCAACTAGTGAGTGACATCACAACCTGTATCGGTATTAGTGATCACTTGGCAGTTCTTTTCCAACTTGATGATGTTTGTCGAAGGCGAAAGGTTAGGAGAGAGGTCAAGCTGTTTGATAAGGCAAATTTTGATCTGATTAATTATCAGTTATATCAGTTATACCTAGGCTTCTGCGATAATGCACCAGGAAGAACGGTAGACGAAAACTGGCTCGAATTTAAAGCATCTATAAAGCAAGTAGAAAAATGTATTCCAAGTCGTAAAGCCAACACTAGTGCTGACCCCCCGTGGTATAGCCCCGAACTCAGGCGCCTTGATGACAAACAGCGAAAGCTACATCAAAAGGCTAAGGCGTGTAGGCAAGAGGAGTTTTGGCGTAAATACAAAGAACTGAAAAGGGTCGTAAAACGAGCCCATAGGCAAGCAGAAATGAACTATAAAAGGAAGCTTGGTTCCCTGATTAAAGAAAATAGTAAGTGCTTTTGGAAATACGTAAAAACTATGCGCGGTCAAAAAACAGGAATCTCCTCTATTCGGTCTCAAAGTGGTGAACTAGTGGTAGATCCAAGAGGAATAGCCAATGTGTTAAATATGCAGTACAAAAAAGTGTTTTGTGGCTTGAGTGATGCACCTGAAACTGTTCCATCGAACTATCGTGTAACTGAGTCAATGGGGTCTATGCTGCCCGTAGAAATAGACTATAACGGTGTTGTAGGTCTATTAAAGAACATAAACGTAACCAAGGCCCCTGGACCTGACGGCATCTCTGGCGCTATTCTGAAATATTGTGCCAGAGTTGCTGCAATGTTTTTAAAGATTATATTTGAACAGTCCTTAAGTACGGGGGATGTGCCCCAAGACTGGCGCAGGGCATCAGTTCACCCAGTTTTTAAAGGTGGTAATTCAAAGCAGACCGAGAATTACCGTCCAATATCCCTTACTTGCATCTTCTGTAAATTGATGGAGCGCATTTTAACTTGTGCAATCACAACTTATTTAGAAGAAACAAACCTATTTTCGCGGTTTCAGTTTGGATTCCGAAAGCACTTATCGTGTGAGTCACAATTAATAATGTTGTGTCAAGATACTTTCTCGTCACTTGACCAAAAACATAGTGTAGATCTTGCATTTATCGACTTCAGCAAAGCTTTTGACAAAGTGTCACATTACCACCTCTTAAAGAAGCTTGAAACGTACAAGTTAGATAAAAAAGTAATTGATTGGATTAAAGCATTCCTATGTAACAGAAAACAAAGTGTTGTGTTACATAATTGCCATACTGACGAGATACAGGTAACGTCAGGAGTTCCGCAGGGAAGTGTACTCGGGCCAATTTTGTTTCTCTTATATATAAATGACTTGCCTGATAGAATTGATTGCTCGATACGCATGTACGCTGATGATGTTGTACTATACACAGATGTTGTAAGTAACATAGACTCTACTCATAAGTTGCAGACAAACCTAGATGCATTATTGCAATGGTGTAAGGATTGGAAAATGTCAGTAAATGTAAATAAATGTGCTATAATGAGAATGTCAAGAAACAAGCGTGCGGCAGTCCCAAAGTACTTTTTCAATAACTCAGCAATTCCAGTAGTAGAAGAGTTCAAATACTTAGGAGTGTTCATTTCGAATACTTGTAGCTGGCAAAGATATATACAGTATGTGGCTAGTAGAGGTAACCAAATGTTAAGATTTGTGAAAATAAATTTTAAAGGCTGTCCACAAGTAGTAAAAGAAACAGTGTATACATCTTTAGTTAGGCCATTAATAGAATATGCAAGTTGTGTTTGGGATCCCAACGCAGAAGGAATGAAACACAATTTAGAGATGATACAGAGGCGTGCAGCTCGTTTTACCTTGAACGATTACAGTAGGGATAGCAGCGTCACAGATATGTTGTCATCAATTGGCTGGGACACGCTGGAAGCACGACGCAAAGTTGCCAGATTGTGTTTTTTGTTCAAATTGTACCATGGCGAGAGTAGACATGACACTGATAATATTATTCTTAGGCCTAACTACATAGGGAGGAACGATCATCCCAAAAAGATAAGGCGGATACAATCGCGACTACTATCATACCACAATTCGTTCTTTCCTAAAACTATCCGAGAATGGAACCAACTTGATGTAAATTTAGCCGCAATAGAGACGCTTTCTGACTTCAAAGCGATGTTGTAATGTGTGTACTTGTAGTGTATAATGTTGTGTTCGATGTGTATTTGAAAGAGGAGACTCATGCTACGACCAATCCAGACGAATCGAATTTAGTACGATCCACCGACCATCACCAGGACCTACCAATGGTATTTGTGATGTTTTTCTATGAATACAAATGAATACAAAACTGCTGATCCACCTCCTGAAGTCTCAACGTCGTTAAACGATTTTCGGAGGAGTCACGGGAACGGAAGATTAAAAAGTAGCACTATTTAGCTCCACTGAGCGAGACTGAACGGTACACAACGATTCGTCCACCGACTTTACTCCGTCAAACCTACCTACGTTACCGAAAGCTGCATTATTACGAGCGAGCGAGCGCAGCGAGCGAAGCAAAGTCTTTTCAATATAACGGAAAAATCTCAGTATGAGCGGCCCGGCCCGGCCCGGCCTGTAACGCTTTTGAGAGGCTTATATCTCAGCAACCGCTGGACCGAATGGCCTGCGGTCTTTTTTGCTGGGTAGCACCATCCCTTCTACCCCGTAATTAACTACTTTTGATACATCTCAGTGACCGTCGTGGCACGTGCCACGAGAAAAGTCAAGGGTGTTCAAGCAGTTTTGCCAAAGTAATGATTTTGAGAGGCCCATGCCCCATATCTCAGCAGCGGCTTGAGCGATTGTCTTGCGGTAATTTTTATAGGGTAGCTGCATCCCTTCTACCAAAGGTCGGATACTCTTGATCTATGTGAGTGACCCCCACTGCACGTGCAAAATACAAAAAGAAGAGGTGCCAAATTTGTTCCCATTTCAGTAACTCGGTAATTACTGGGGCGATTTCGCTGAAACTTGGCAACAAGGTAGGCACCCACCAGGCAATGCATACCCATGTGTTGCGGTTAGGGTGCTACTGCACGTGCGCACGTGCAGGGGGCGTTTCCAGATCTCGAGAACGGCTGGGCCGATTGCGCTCAAATTTGGTACACGGTTGGGGACCGGTTAGTAGGGTGCCGTGCAAAAGTCGGTTTGGACCCCGTTTGCACGTGCGCACGTGCAGAATGCCGCTTCCAGATCTCAGGAACGGCTGGGCCGATTGCGTTCAAATTTGGCACACCGCTAGCGACCGGTTAGAAGGGTGTTTTGCACAAGCCCGTTGGAAGTACCCTCTCGCCCTTCCGCACGTGCATGGCTCGCTATCTCGCTCGCTCGTTCTTCGCCCAAAAGGCGTTTTACTGGTGTATAAAGCGGGCAGTCGTATTTCAATAACTCAACTGGAGTAAAATGTCAACCGGGAATAGTTGCATGCTATGAAGCCAGATATATTTTTATTACGCACCCGGTGACACGGTTATGTCTCGCGATAAATAAATCAATATTGACATGGGTGCCCAGCATGCTCACATTGTCACGCCAGATTTACAGGCCGCCACCGAAGCACATCACCGCGAGCTGTGCGTGTCGCTGAGCGCTCACCGTGCCGTTGACGAGGTGGGCCAGGTAGGAGTAGACCTCGCTGAAGTCCTGGCGCTGGTGGAGGGCGGCCTGGTCGCGCTCCCCGGCGGCGGCCAGCTGCAGCGGCACCGAGAGGGCGGCCAGGTCCCGGCGCGGCCCGAAGCCGCCGCCCGGCCGCACCGGCAGGGCGCGGCTGATGCGGCCCAGCCAGTCGTCCAGGGAGCCGCAGCTCGCCGCCGGCGGCGTCGACCGGCTCAGCCGGCGCACGTGCTTCAGCCGGGCCCGGACCTGCGGCCGGTCACAGGGCACAGGTCAGCGCGCCGCTGCTCCAGCCGCGACACCGGGGGTCAGCTGACTGGCCTGGGACAGAACAGGGCCAGGAGAGGGCCCGGCCGGGGAGCGGGGGCAGGAGGTGCGACTGGGACTGGAGAGTGGAGAGGGTGCGTCTCTGATCTCTCCTCGAGGGATGCCGACTGTCACCGGGCTTCGGGACAGAGTCGAACAGACGGGTATATGGGATCAGACAGACCGCCCAGTGGCGGACACAGCTGGCCAGCTGGCATGCAGCAGGGGTTGCCGCCCGATCAAGCAGTTGCTTCCCTCCACGATACTCTGTGATGCACATCAAATTAATCAGTCTATTAGTGAAAAATCTATTGGGTCATGCACAGCTAACTATGTTTGGCAGGACACTGCCTCTTTCTAAAAAAAAAAGTATTTAAGTAGAAAGGCAGCTTTGCAGTATCTAAGAGACATCCACATCTGGCAAAAAGCTCAGTGCCCACTGTCCATCTGGGTGATAATTTCAATATTTTGACACCAAAATGAAAGTGCATAGATCACTATAGGTAGTCACTCACTAGAAACTGAGCTACAATGGGCCATTATTGTAAACACTGGCCATCCTTTGCTGATAATGAAGTCACTAAAGCAGACATTTCATTACCCACTGACCTGATCTAGAGAGCGGCGGGGAACAGCCTTCTGCAACTGGTCCAATGAAGCAGTGCCATACTTCTTGATGGCACTGACCAAAGCGTCCGCCTCCTGCCTACTCCATCGCGCTATCCCGCCAGTTCCAGTGCTGTCAATGATGAAATGGGCAGGGCTATAGTTTTTTGCTTGTTTATTGGGGATGTAGGGCACATTACAAAATGTGTTTGGCTCCAAGTCCATTACCAATCAAAGCTCTTACGTGAGTTTTGGCAACATCAGCGCCTGGCTAAGAATTTCTTAAGTAACACCAAACTATTGGATTTCAAATTGTGTTCAGTAAATACATGGAAATTATGCCTTCCAAAATGAGCATACTATAATGACATCACTGGTAGCAGCTGGCACCAGGGGCGTCGCCACGGATTTTCGACAGGGGGGGGGGGACGGATCGGTCGACTAAAAACCCAAACCTAGGTATTGTTACCATACTTTGTCAGGCCGATGCATTATCTGTCTAATGGTAATGGAACAAATTCCATCACAGTACAGTCTGAAGCCCCATTCAATTTGACACGGTTAAGGGCAAAGTCTGTAGTGTCTACTACGGGGTGTAATTGTCTACGTGTGTGACCAGTTTGATAGGTAATGCATCCATACCTGCGTGTGAGGTGCTTTATTAATCACAACTCACGATCTCTTTTTTACTCGAGTATCGCCGAAAAATTGGCAAAATCACTTGGCAAAACAGCTTCAAAATACATAGGTACATTTTGCAGCCCGTGAATCAAGTTTGATGCCAGTAGTCAGTACACCTAAGCTGATCACCAAGTCAAGTAGCCCTGCATCTAAAAAAATGGGATCCTTAGTTTCAACTTTCAAGTAACCATATAGCTTATGTCCTAGAAGCACAATCCTGAAATATGCCTCCACTTTGATGAAATGCACCTACAAGTTTTCTTTTACAAGCGCCCTTTCGATAGCACGGCGCCCTTCGCAGTTTGCATGCTCTAATGGCGTCCTCCTGACTGTCTCGCGTTCCTGGATAATATAGCGTTGTTAATCACTCGGTCTGGAAGAATGGCGCCACTTTGACAGCACTGCGCCCTTCTCATGGTCTAACGGTGCCCTCCTGACCATCTCGCGCCCTTAGGTCTCTGTCTACCGTGCATCCCTAGACTGTTCGGCGCCCTTCTGGCCTCTCTGCGCCCCTGGACCACATAGCGTTTTCAATCACTCGGCGCCCTCGTAACCGTCTGGCGCCCCTCACGTCCCCCCCAAATATATCTGCTTAGTCAGACATGTTACTTGAAGCACCATTCGGCTAACAATGATATCAAATTTGTTGTTAATTTAGGCTCCCACATAAAGAAGATCCATTGCTCCCCACAGTGGCCTAGCACCCCTACAGCTGGGCACCCACAATCATTTTAGGAAAATTACACCCGATTGGAGAAACATGCCCCCCTCCCCGCCCCCGCAGGCCGCAGCATCCACAAACGCCTTTCTGGATCCGCCAGTGGCCAAAAAACGTTCAGTCAATAGAAAAAGGGCTCATACCACAAGTCATTTTACCGTGCTGCTGGTTTTAGGAGGCATACCCGTTGTCAGAGATAGAGTCTGCGTCGATCAAGATTCAAGGGTACCGGTGCAAGCAATTCATATAATTTGAATTTTATATCTGTGAATCAAAAATAAAAAACTGAAAAACTTGCTCGATTAACAATTACTTTTTTCCGCAGAATGACAGGCAGGTAGCCGGTAGGTAACTGAGAAAAAGCAGCTCAACAACTTTGAATGGCATTCAGTTTGAGGAGGGGATCATCCCCCAGCCTCACTCCAGGGGGGATGGTGTCCCCCCGGCCCCCATCCCCCCTGGCGACGCCCATGGCTGACACCCAATGTCAATGTTGATGTCCTTGACCTTACGATGGCACAAAGTGTCAACGAATTTGAGGAAAACCTTGTTTCCACTGTTACCAATGTTAGAATCGAGGTAACCAACTTACTCAATACTCAGCCATCTGATGAAAGGATTTAGTGTAATATAGTTAGCTTAGTTTTATCACATTATGAGTGTCTGGTGTGCAAAGGCAATTTCCATCCATGACAGTTAAAGCTAGAATAATACTCTGACACAAAAGTGCTGGTACCTATTCCTATGTGTATTATAAGGAATGCATCCTACCTCGCACTTTCCACCTCATGTTCCAGTCTGGGCGCAGATAGCGATCCTCTGTCCCTCAGTTTTGGCATGATGAGCAGGAATAATTTCTTTGACTTGTCACCAACACTGTCACCAAAACTCTTCAAGATACTCGTCACCACGATATCTATTGATATAATCAAGGCTATGATCTTCTTCACATATTACATAAAGTATATTCACATTTCACACATATTCACGTTACACATATCAACCATGGCCGTATAATTATATCAATATTGATATAACAAAATGTGTTATTTCACAGAGTATTTCACCGACGATTTCACATTTGTAAACGTTACATGTGCGCCATAGTCGTAGACCAAAGGCTGCCTAAAAAGCAGACATCAAGGCAACGTGACCATAAACCGCAGACATCAGCCCGCCACGACCACAAGGGCCCCCGGCCCAGAGGTGGAATTTAATATCTCTTTGGGGTCCCGGGACCCCCCCCCAATATTCTCCAGAGCAAGACTTGAGCCCCCAAAGGTTTAAACGCGCCCCTCCGGACTCCGGAGACCACAATATTCCGAGTCGTCAAGATCGATGATTCGATGGAGCCCATCAATGAGAGCCACCGGGGCCCACTTGAATGAAAACTACAGTCGCCCCATCCAAGGTCGATGGCGCCCCTCTAGTCTAGAGCATCCGGCGCCCTTCTGAAAAATCACAGCCGCCCCATGCATTTTACATACTGAAAAGTATCAGATACTCTTTTAGCCCTCGCCCGCACATGCCATTTTCCCATTCTAGAACGCACATGGGGGGGGGGGTGCCATCCCCCCCGCGCCATTTCGTTCCTGTTGGAGATAGAGCTTAGCGGTAAAGACCAAAAAGATTCTTTGGGAAGAGACGAATCCAATGATACCTACCCAGTTTTACCTTCTCAGGTCAGTCATTGACCTTCCAGGTCAGGTCAAACTTAAAAATGTTGCTGTTTTGGGTCACCGTTGGTCGTTGGATATCAAGTGCGCTGCTTATCATATACCGATGACGATGCCGTTTTCTGGTGCCAAGCCAGCTAGAACCTCTTTGTCACACTACCCGACCAGGTTTTTGCTGCTGAGGTCATGTCAGGTCAAGTTAGGTCAAGGTCAATTATATGTGTTTGTATGTCTGTGTGTGTCTGTGTGTATACCTACTGATGTGTGCACCGATTGTTTATTTGTCCATATTACATGAAATCATGATCTGAGAAGCTTTTACCGAAAAAGCAGTCAAAAAAATTCACAAAAAGTAAATTCCGCTTGCCTAAAACGCAATTATCTTAGATGACCTAGGTTGACCTTGACCTTGACATCTGTACATCGTCGAACAACATGTTCCATGATAGGTCGTAGGTAAAACTGACAAAAAAGGCCGAAATCAAGGTGTCAAAAGCTCACAAGACCCATAGCCAACGCAAGATGTTGAGAATTGGCCATTGGGTCATGACATTGACATGACCTTAAAAACACTGGCGGATCCAGGGGGGGGGGCATTAGGGGCATATGCCCCCCCCCGACAGGAGCCTGGGGAGGGCATTCAGTACAAGTATGCCCCCCCCCCCGTTCAAAATCTTACGCCTATAACGAGGAACTAAATAAACATGGATTAGAAAGTCTTCCTATGTAACTACTTTTGTGATCAGAGTCGTTTTAGTAACCTCAATTTAGTTGTCATTGCTTTATTTTGTCTAAAAGTATGTTGCTTCTTAGTTCTTACAACAGGGAAGTCATGCCGCTTCAAGTTTCAACCCTTTTGACCGTATTGTCTAACGATGGCACTCATATTGCGCAAACCAGGAATCGGCCACCGCCTATGCTTGGGAATAGGGACGGTTAGAATATGATTTACCTGTATGGCCACAGCCAGTGCAGCGTAACCGGGGGGGGGGGGGCACAAGGGGCGCGTGCCGCCTCATTAGATGCATGGTGCCCTATGGGCCCGAGAGGCCCTGCAGTGCCAATTGGCCGCTCAGGGTCCAAGCGTGCCTTATTTCGACTGAGATAAGACCCGCAGGACTCGTGAGAGCACCTCCCGGAGTCACGGGCTCCTGGGTCGCCACATATCACACATCTCCATAAGGGCCCCACTCCGGCCTCTGAGGGCCCTGTGCTGGCCTCTGAGTGACCTTGCTGACCTATTAAGCGTCAGCTCTAATTAGAGTCCTGGCCCATACCCGCACATGGAACGGCTCCACACCAGTGTCTCTGAGGGCCCATAACGGCGCCTTTGAGGGTCTCACACCGGCGCCTTTGAGGGCCCAACACCGCCAATCTGAGGGACTAACACCAATCTTTTTTAAGGCCCTACATCGGCGGCGGCTCTGAGGGCCCCACACTGGCGCCTCTGAAGGTCTTACACAGGCTCATCTGCCGGCTACCTACCTGCAACTCAGTGGGCCCCACACTGGTGACTCTGAGGGCTCCCAGTGACGCCTGAGAGTACCACGCCGGTCTCCAGGATCCCACAGGGCTCCTGAAGGCCTCTGCTGGCCCTTGCTGGTCTCTTGAAGACCCCTTGCCCCCATGCATGTGTCTCTGAGGAGTGAGGACTCCCACAACGATGCCTTTGAAAGTCTTCACCGGCGACTGTGAGGGCACCACACAGACACGTCTGAGGGCCCTACACCGCCACCTCTGACACACCAGTGTCTCCTGAGGTCCCACATCGGCGACTCTGAGGGTCCCACACCGGCGCCTCTGGGGCCCCACACCAGTGCCTCTGGCAGTCAGCCACCGGTAACTCTGTAGGTCCTACACCGGTGACTCTGAGGGCCCCACCGGCGTCTGAGAGTACCATGCCGATCTCTAAGGACTCCACAGGGCTCCTGAAGATACTGCCGGCCCTCACTTGCCGGCCTGTGAAGGCCCATTGTTGGCATCATACGGTCCGTTACCGGCCTCTGAGGGCCCTTTGTCGGTCTCTGAGAGGTCCTACTGGGTTATTAAGCATTCGCATTTCGCACCAACAACTCCAAGGGCCCCACACACAGCCATCTGTGAATGGTGTGGGCTTAGCGCCACACCAGTGTCTGAGGCACCACAACGGCGTCCATGTGAGGGCCTCACACCAGCACCTTAGAGGGCTCACACCGGCTCCTTTGTGGTTCCTGCACCAGTGCCTCTGAGGGTCCCACACCACTGCCTCTGGGGAACCCACACCGATAGCTTTGATGGTCCCACGCCAGTACCTCTTAAGGTGCCACACCGGCGGCCCTGGGTCGGCTCTATAGGTACACCAGTCATTCTGAGGGCCCCACCGGCCCCACCAATTTTCGTCGATTTCTGGCGCTGCCCGGGTATTTGTCCCAAAAGCCTCCTCCTCCTGGATCTGCCAATGGGGTTCAGGTGTCCTACAATTTCTGTTTTTTTTTTTAGAAAAAAAAAACTCGTGTCAGGGCTATGACGAAAAATAAGTGGCCTAAATCCGATGAGAAAACAGGATTTGGGGGTACCCTAGGTTTGGCTCCGTGACCTGGTATGCCCCCCCCGCGCTGACACCCTGGATCCGCCAGTGCTTAAAAACAAGATCATATCTCCGAAACCGAAAACCACAGAAACTTGAAATTTTCAGTGGACATCAAGAAAGGATAGAGGAGCAGCTATACGAAAAATCAGCCTTCTAGCTCTAAAAATGTTGATTGCAGAGCAGAAAGACTACCTGGGGGGTGGCAACCCCCCCCCCCCATGTGCGGGCGAGGGCTAAGGACCCTTTTAGGACTATCGGAGGACCCCTTTAGGCCAAGTGCCAACGAGGGACCTTGTGCAGTAAACAAAGGGCCTTAGAACGAACAGGACCTTCTCAGGCACACAGAGGGCCCTCTCAGGCACTCAGAGGGCCCTTTCAGGAACTCAGAGGGCCCTCTCAGGCCGGGCCCCTTAACCTTCCAGGCGGTGGGGGAGGCATTTTTGCCCCCCCCCCCCGGCTTAGTTTTTTTCGATATATCTCGAGAACCACTGCGCCGATCGTCACCAAACTTTCAGTACCCTCCCGTGAATAGCTATTCCACATTGTGACCAATTTTTTCCAAAGGCTATGATACGTTGGCCGCAAATGACGTCAGAGTGACGTCATTTCTGCCATTTTTGACCCAAAAAAGGTTTCGCGGGAAGAGCTGTCAGGCCTACAGCTTTAGAGACACAGAAACATGTTTCAGACATAAACGGTGTAGAATTAAAGGGACCCTCCCACCTTAACAGATTAGTTTTGAGTTGAGATAGCCAAGTTTGCGGCCAGGCTCAGAAACCACCATTTATCCTGGTCGCAACCCCCGCAGCTTTATAGTGTTCAATAAATTTCTTCCCTTTACTTGCAGGGTGGGACCAGCGTAGTCCCTATCTCTTAAAGGTAGTGTGCCACCTTTGAAAGATTTCCCATTTTATTTTTCCTAGGATAAGAAGCTTCTGTTTTTACCTAATACCGCAAAAAAAAATCAAAAATGGGCCTGGAATAGTGCCTTTTTCGCCTAAAAGTTTTTCGGTTTTTAGATATGTAGGTATAACAACTGTAGTGGGCTCACCTGCAAACAGGCGTCGGGCAACAATCGCGAATGCGGCGCACTTGTGACAATAAGCAAAGGTCATTATAGTGTTACGACCACTGAACTCTATAATGTGGAATGCGCATCGGCCGCCAAACTGGCCAATCAGAGGCCTTGTTTGTCATTTCTGGGTGGGATTAATAAACATGCGGCCGCCAAATGGTGTCCAACGGTGCCGCCATGTTGCGCAGACCAGAAAGCGGCCGCCGCCTGTGCTGGGGAATAGGGAATTCGGGACCTCGATTTACGTTTGCGGTCGCTGCATCCGTTACGCTCAAGCTATGTGGACACGGAACCCGGCATCTTACGCAGAATTGAGTAGAGAACAAGATGAAATCCTAAAAAATCATCAGCTATAAGGAACTAATACGTTAAACCCTTATAAGTCAATGGGGAAATATGAAAATTGTTATTTTGGCGCCGAGAATGATCTGAAACTATCTCAAGCATATAAAATCATGATTTCATGCATTCCTTGCAAGGTTCTATGCTTCATATTTGCATTGTTGCCCTTGCGTGACGTCATTTGTGACGTCACAATGGTCACCATTTTTCTTCAATAACTCCCGATTAAATTGAGCTAGCGAGTCGGGAAAGCCACCAATGGACTCAGGAAGACCTGCCGAATCGAATGATATGCGACATGACCTCTTTCGACCAACTTCGTGACCTGGGGGTGCTGACCTGACCTTGACCTGAGGTCAACACCCTAAGTTGACCTGACCCGAACAAAAAGTATATCACTCGATGCGCCTGAGCTAGCTGAACACGATGATGCCAAAATCGCGGCTCTACGGCCATTTTTGGCGAAGTTATTTACCAAAAACCGAACCCGTGCCTTAGATCACTTGACCTGACCTC